CCTGGGTTAATTCTCGTCACAAATCCATTAACCGGTGCGAACTATCTCCATTGGAGCAGGGCGATGAAGCTTGCTCTAGGCGCGAAGTCAAAACTTGGCTTCATCAACGGGACACTGCAAATTCCAGATCTAGGATCTGAAGAACATGAACAGTACCAGAAAGTGGAATTCATGGTAATCTCGTGGTTACTCAATTCCATTTCAAAGGACATCGTAGGAGCTTTCATGTATGTCAAAAATGCCAAGCAGCTTTGGGACGAGTTAGCAGAGAGATATGGAGAGTCCAACGGGCCCTTAAGGTACAAATTACAGAAGGAAATTGCTACTTTTGCACAAGGCTCGCTATCTGTTACTGAATATTATACAAAATTGAAATGCCTTTGGGATGAGTATAGTTGCCTCATATCAATACCTAGTTGTGAGTGTGGGTCTGGGAAAGCCTTTAATGAATTGGACATGGAAATTAAGCTTATGCAGTTCCTCATGGGGTTAAATGAAGTATTTGAGCCAATCAAAAACCAGATTTTATTGTTTGATCCCCTACCAACTGTAAACAAGGCATACTCCATGATCTTGAAAATTGAAAAACAGAAAGGAATTAATGCTGTCATGAACCAATTTGAGAACTCAGTCATGATGGTGAAAGGAAATTTTGGAAGAGGAGCAGGGAGAGGACAAGGCTTTGGTAGAGGAAATGCAGGGAGAAACACCTTTGGACAACAGTTTAACAATGTACCAAAAGGTAGAGGAGGCCCTAGATTGTCAAAGGAAGAGAGAGCCAAACTTTTCTGTACTCACTGTGGGTACAATGGACATGAGATTCAAGGGTGTTTCAAATTAAACGGTTATCCAGATTGGTTTAAGGAGCTAAAGGAGCAAAGACAGCACCAAAGTGTCAACATGGCTGAAAAGGATGACTCTACTAAAGCAGATTCAGAGACAAGATCTCAGCACAGTGACTCATCATCTGACATTGGATCTATCATTGAAAAGGAAGTGGCCAAGTATCTGTCCAAGAGACATAACTCAGAACTGCACACTTACTCACACTTTGCCAAATTGTCTGAAGATGAGGAAGATTATGCCTTCTCCATGATAAGCAAAGCTGCTAAGGGAAGTTGGGTTATTGATACAGGTGCTAGTAAGCACATTTGTTGTGATGAGGACCTATTGTGCAACAAATCAGAGATACTAGCTCCTATTCTGGTAAATCTACCAGATGGCTCCAAAATGAAGGTAACTCAGGTGGGTGAGGTCAGGTTTAATAATCAGATTGTACTCAAGGATGTGCTGTTCATACCAGAATTCAAACACAATCTCCTCTCTGTGGGCCAATTGGTTGAAAGGAATGGATTATGCTTCAATTTCACAAATGCAGGATGCAAATTACTAGACACAAAAGAGAGACTTGTTATTGCAGTTGGTAAAGCTATAGGAGGACTATATGTCATAGACTCAGAAGGAGTGTATGTTAATGCAGTGGATGAAGAAACACACAACAATGAAGAACTGTCTTTATGGCATAAAAGACTTGGACACAGTTCAGTGCATTGCTTGAAACACTTGCCTTTTGTCAAGGGTACATGCTCCAAGGAGGAATTAGGCTTATGTGACATATGTCACAGATCAAAACAACCAAGGCTGCCATTTCCCACTAGCAGCATTCACACCAAAGGCAAGTTTGAGCTTATTCATGTAGATGTCTGGGGTCCACACAATGAAGATTCTTTATTGAATGTCTCCTACATGCTTACAATTGTGGATGATTTCACTAGAGCCACCTGGATATACCTTATGAAGTATAAGTCTGAAACAGTTACTCATCTAAGGTCTTTCATCAAAATGGTTAAGGTGCAGTTTGATGAGAATATCAAACAGATAAGAACTGATAATGGCAGTGAATTTGTTAATGGAGAAATGCACAACCTGCTGAGAGAAAATGGTATGCTTCATCAGAGAACTTGCCCTTATACTCCACAACAAAATGGAGTTGTGGAAAGAAAACACAGATCCATACTTGAAGTAGCAAGATCACTCTCATTTCAGGCTAACCTGCCTAAATTTCTTTGGCCATATAGTTTGATGGCTGCAGTACAGATCATTAATACTTTGCCCAGTGAAAGACTTGGTTGGAAATGTCCATTTGAATTGCTGCATGGGGTTACACCAACTTATGGGATGTTCAGAGTCTTTGGGTGCTTATGCTATGCAAATAAGCTTGATCCACACAGAAGGAAGTTTGATGAAAGAGCAACAGCTTATGTATTCTTGGGATATGTGTCAGGCACAAAGGGATACAGGATTTATAACACTCAAACTAAGGAGGTTTCCATCACCAGGGATATTATTTTCTATGAGGACAAATTTCCTTTTTCTCAACTGCAAACACATAATGCTATGCAGTCTCATAACATGCCTTTGCCAGTTGTTCATGATGACACTGAAGAACCAATTGCACCTACTGCCACACCACTTATTGCAACACCTATTGCCACACCACTAAACACTCAACCACAGAGACAAAGCAACAGAATAAGGAAACCACCAAGTTGGCTGGATGATTATGTTACTGAAATGCCTCAGGATAAGGAGATAAACACCTTTTTCTCTGTGGTAAGTCAGACCACTTCAGAACCTACTTTTTATGAACAGGCTATAAAGGATCAGAGATGGGTGCAAGCCATGCATAAGGAGTTACAAGCCCTAGAATCAAACCAGACTTGGATTTTGACCACACTGCCACATGGCAAGAGAGCAATAGGGTCTAAATGGGTATACAAAATCAAAAGGAACCCTGATGGAAGCATTGACAAGTTCAAAGCCCGGTTGGTGGCAAAGGGATATCTACAAAGAGAAGGGATTGACTTTGTAGACAGCTTTTCTCCTGTTGCCAAACTTGTATCTGTCAGACTACTTATAGCACTTGCTACTCAAAACAAGTGGGAACTGCATCACATTGACATTAACAATGCCTTCCTTCATGGTTTTTTGGAGGAGGAGGTTTACATGAAGCCACCAAAAGGATATGCAAAGGCAAAGGCAGGAGAAGTATGTCTGCTCAAGAGAAGCCTATATGGATTGAAGCAAGCTAGTAGACAGTGGAATATAGAGTTTTCAGACAAGCTGATTTCTTTTGGGTTTCAGCAGTCATCACATGACCACTGTCTGTTCTTCAAACATTCAAACACTGGAGTCCTTGCTTTGCTCATCTATGTAGATGATGTGTTGATTACAGGAACATGCTTGCAGGACATACAACACCTTAAACAATATCTTGATGATTTATTCACCATTAAGGACTTGGGGCAGGCAAAATACTTCCTTGGCCTAGAGATTTTCAGAACAAATGAAGGCACTTACCTCAGCCAAAGGAAGTATATTCTTGACATGGTTCATGACTTGGGTCTGGAGAACTCAAAAGCCTCTACTACTCCTTTACCTGCTGGCATTAACCTATCTTCCTTGGAATCCACTTTATGTGATAAACCAGAGACCTACAGGAGACTTGTTGGTAGACTTCTCTACTTGAATTTGTCTAGAGCAGACATTTCCTATGCCATTCAGCAACTCAGTCAATTTGTACAAGCTCCTTCACAAGCTCATTGGAATGCAGCAGTTCACCTGGTTAAATATTTGAAAGGAAGTCCTACTCTTGGTCTCTACTATGCAGCCCTGCCTTCAACTACACTTGAAGCATTTTGTGATGCTGACTGGGGAAGCTGTACAACTACAAGAAAATCTTTGACTGGCTACTGTGTTTTCTTGGGGAACTCATTAATTTCATGGAAAACAAAAAAGCAGAAGACTGTTTCTCGTTCTTCAGCTGAAGCTGAGTATAGATCTATGGCAACTACAGTCTGTGAGTTGCAATGGTTATCCTACTTAGCTAAAGATCTCAATCTATCTGTTTCTACTCCAATCACTCTTTGGTGTGATAATCAAGCGGCTCTCCACATAACAGCAAATCCGGTCTTCCATGAGCGCACGAAACATCTAGATATTGATTGCCATGTGGTCAGAAACCAGTTTAAGGAAGGCTTCATTGCTCCCAGACATATCTCCTCTTCCTTGCAACCGGCAGATGTGTTTACCAAAGCCCTTGGAGGTCCTGATTTTCGAAGATTTCTCTGCAAGCTGGGAATGCACGTCAACCGTCACATTCCCGCTTGAGGGGGGGGTGTTGACTTGTTGATATGCTGCAGATTTGCTGCAAATTATGGATCGGTTTTTGGTT